TCTTTGTTTCTGTGAGAGATCACTCAGTATTATAAACTCTGGTTCCATCCAGGTTGCTGCGAAATTCATGATTTTGTTCTTTTTTATGACTGCGTAGTATTCCATCATGTACATGTATCACATTTTTTAAATCCAGTCCTCTTTTGATGGACAGCATGGTTGGTTCTAGGTTCTTGCTATTGTGAACAATGCTGCGATAAACATACGTGTGCAGGTATCTTTTTTATAGAGTGATTTGAGTTCTTCAGGGTATATTCCCAGTAGGGGAATTACAGGGTCATATGGGAGGTCGATATTTAGAACTTTCAGGAATCGCCACACTGATTTCCACAGAGGTTACACTAGTTTACACTCCCACCAACAGTGTAGAAGTGTTCCCTTTTCACCACATCCTCTCCAGCATCTGTTATTTTTTGAGTTATTGATAATGGCCATTCTGACTGGAGTTAGGTGGTGTCTCAGTGTAGTTTTAATTTGCATCTAGGAGGAGTTTTTTAATAAAAATATTTGAATAAATTAATTTTACCACCACCATTAAAGAGTAACTTAAATAAGCCAGACTTTTAATTTTATTTTATTTTAAAGATGTGGAGTACAATTCAGGGTAAGGTATACAAATGTTGATTATGCAGGTACCCTGTTGATGAGATGTGCCCCTCCCTTCCCTAGTGGTTTCTCTCAACTGCCAATCCCACCCCCATTCCCCTGGAAGTTCCCACTACCAATCCCTTTCTTATAATATTATGATAATTGTTTAAGGTCTGCTTATGAGTAAGAACATGTGGTACTCTGTTCTTTGTTCCTGTGATAGATCACTGAGTATGATCGACTCTAAATCCATCCAAGTTGCTGCAAAGTCCATATGTTTGTCCTTCTTTATAGAAGCCAGACTTTCTAACCTGTGTTAATTTTTAAATATATTATTAAGGTTTTAGAATAAATTTTTCTTTCTTTTTATTTTTCAAAGAGATAGTGTATATTATTCTTTTGCTTGCTAATGTTTAACTTAAACTTGTGGAATCTTTCTTAGAACTTTTTTATATGGCAAAAAAAATCACCTAAGCTTAGTTAATACATACAGTTAATTGAGGAAAACTATCATCTGTAGTATTATTGGTTTGACAAGTTATTTTTTATAGACTTTAATGTCAAGGGTTTTTCCAATGACACATGTAGAAAGAAGCAAAAAGTCTGACTCATTTTTATTGGCAGGGCAAAGTTCACTACTATGCATTCACCTTTAACTTACCTATTGTATCAGTCAAACTTCCAAATGTTGTTGACACTAACCTATATGATTGTGATGCTCTCTTGCCTGTAAACTTGTTAGTATTATTTTAAGTTTTGAAACAAAGTCTACTGGAGAAAAAAGAGAGAAAGGAAAGAGAGACATGCCATAGCTGGCACAGGTGAGAGAAACCGCCAAATTATTATTTTTTTAATATTTGTGTTCTTATTGCTCACACTCAAAATTTATATTTGATTGATTGATTGATTGATTGATTGAATTGAGGTTTATCTCTGTTGCCTCGGCTGGAGTACAGTGGCATGATCACAGCTCACCATAGCCTCGACCTCCTGGGTGATCTTTCTACCTCAGTCCCGAGTAGCTGGGACCACAGGCATGCACCACCATACCTGGCTAATTTTTTTATGCTTTGTAGAAAAGGGATCTAGCTGTGTTGCCCAGGCTTGAACTCCTAGGTTCAAGCATTTCTCCTACCTTGGCCTCCCAATGTGCAGGAATTATAGGTGTGAGCCAACACAGCCGGCCAAAATTTATGTTTTGTGTAATATATTTTAGCACCTGCTAATTGTGTGATCAAGAGCTAATGTAGGTGCTGAGCCTGTGTACTTCCCCTGTCTGCTACCTGACATGGATGGCGACTGCAGATGGACTAGGGTATCAGCAGAAAGGATGAGATGATTCTAAATGAAAGAGACCTTGGAACCACAGCTCTTAGGCTATTGTAAAGGCTACCATTTAAATGAGTGACAAGCTGGGCACGGTGGCTCAAGTCTGTAATTCCAGCACTTTGGGAGGCTGGGATGGCAGGATCACTTGAACCCAGGAGTTCAAGACCAGTTTGGGCAGTGGCTGTCTACAAAAAAATAAAAGGAAGGAAGGATGGAAGGAAGGAGGGAGAGAGAGAGAAAGAGAAAGAAATTAAGAAAACATTTTAGGAATTAATGCGTGTTACTGAATATCCTCGGATGACTAATAAACCCTAAACCAGAGTTGTAGTTAGCAGATGGAAAAGAGAGCTCCAGGGTTCAGACTAACATGTCACCCCTGGCCCTGGACTTAGGTCCAGGTGCCACTTTTGACCAGTTGCACACAACTGGGAAAATTACTTAATTGTTCCACTCTGTTTCCTTGTCTGTAAAATAGAGGTGATAATAATAACCTTAGCTTGAAAATGGGAAGTGTGTGGTACCCAGTGCATAATAGGTGCTCTATGAATGTTCATTATTGTTATTTTGAAATTGAGAATCACCATAACAACATAAAAAGCACCATCTCCATTCCTCATGTCTGCTCTGTGGAGAGGGAGAGAGATGTACATAATAAACTCCCACAGTTTTGGAAGCGATTTGCTTCTGATCAGATGTAAATCTTTTAAACTTTGACAACAAATGATTTAATTCCCTCATCAAATAATTAAGCTGGTAAAATAGTCTCCAGGGGAAAAAAACTGGGGGCGGGAGGCAAAAGGAAGATCATTGAAGGAAAAAATACTAACAATAAATGTTTAGATGTGCTAGCTTTAAAAGTTACTAATTAAGCCCCTTATCATAATAATATATTTTATGGAAGAACCCAACACTTTCTGAATAATTACTGATGGAATGATTCCTTTGTTGAGTTTCTACTATGCGCTAGGCCATCAGTGTGTAGGGCCGAAGTGATGGGGTGACTAGCAAAACACCCATGGTCTCCGACCTTGTGAACTGATGGGGCCACCTATCCCCAAGGGGCTGCTTCTGAGTTATTTAAATATTTTTATAGAATGCTAAAAGACAAAGATATATACACATATCTCACCATACATGAAAGAACTACCAGTCACATGCTACATGAGAACATTTGGTCACACATTTGATACATGCCACGGTCAAATTTATCTTCGAACATTTAAGAATTAACTTCCACGACACTGGCCATGGACAGAGCTACCTCTTGGTCACAGCACATTTCTGGGGGAGGCTGTGGGTATAGGTTTGCTTCTTTGTTCCCCTCCTCTGGGGTGGTTACACTCTTAGATAACTTAGTTGGGGAGCAGGGTAGTTGAGTATGTGAAGTCCATCCTTGGCTAAGCAAGGTCCATTGACCCAGTTAAAGTATCTTCAACATAGAAGAAATGCCTGTGTTCAGCTTTTCAGATGGTCAATGGCTATAAAATTATGCAAAAATGAAAACAAACCAAAACAACATCCAGAATCAAAAGAATCTGCCTATCAAAAAAGAGTAATTCAAACCAGGCTCGGTGGCTCAGCCTGTAATCCCGCGCCTTTGGGAGGCTGAGGTGAGTGGATTGCCTGAGCCCACGGGTTCGAGCCGCCTGGCGAGACCCTACAATAAATCAGGCTCTTCTCTACAATAAATCAAAAAATCAGCCGGGCGTGGTAGCGCATGCCTGTAATTCCGGCTACATGGAAGGCTGAGGCGTAAGGATCCCGGGAGCCCAGCAGGTTGATCTGGGTGACAGAGTGAGACTCCAACTCAAAAAAAAAAAAAAAAAAAAAGAGAGTAATTCAGTAGGGAGTTAGAGATAATACTAAACAGATATCACTCCAGGTGAAAATGAATCCCCCTTTACTGAATTAATGACTGACTTCTCACACTTGAATTTACAGCCAGCCATGTCTTCCCATGTACCTGTCAAGCCTTGTCTCTCAATACTTAGGTCAAACTGGACCTAAGTTTGGTCAGGCTGGTCAGTACTGAGGTCAAGTTGGCCTCTGTGCCTTTGCTCATGCTGGTTCCTCTGCCTGGAACAATTTTCCCTTGTTTGTTGCTCATTACCACTTATCAAAGTCATACCCATCCTCACAGGCAGCAGAAATACCATGCCGTCTACCCTGGAATATCTACCACCTTTGACCTCAGCACTCTACTCCACAGAGGCACTTGCTGCACCCCACTTTCCTGATGGTTATTTGTGTGCCTCCACTGGGACTGGGGGCAGGGATCCTCTTTGCACCCCAGCACCTCATACAGAATCATGGAATAGGATTTAAAGACTCAAATGGATTTGTTGAAGTAGAAATCTCTTTGCATCCCAAATGAAACAGGCTCTACCTGAAGTGTTGAATAAAACAGGAGAAGCATAGCTGAAAAGATGGAAGATAAATATACTTTATAGTCTAGAAACACAATACGCAGGAGTCTAAACAGGTGACATAGTTTAAGATTAAATGAAAAAGAGAAATCCTTACTACTCTCTTTGGAAGACATGATAATGAATTGTATCAGCTGACATCCTAAGCTGTATGAATCAGTCTTTGCTTGGTTCTCTCCTTTACTAAATTGCTAACAAAAAAAACTCGTTGAAAATAAAAAAAGAACTTTTTTTTTCAGGGCCAGTTCTGTGACTATTGCAATTCTGAAGACCCCAGGAAAGCACATCCAGCCACCAATGCAATTGATGGGTCGGAACGTTGGTGGCAAAGCCCTCCTCTCTCCTCAGGCACACAGTACAACCAAGTCAACCTCACCTTGGATCTGGGTCAGGTGAGTTATGCTTTCAATTGGGACAGGAACGTTAGTTTTGGTCACTGTTTCTGTGTTTTCTGACATAATAATTATTGTAAAAAACAAACTTTAGTTTTAATTCATTAATCATTGTTAAACCTGTTACATTAACATTGCTTCTCTTAAAACCCAGAACAATGCCTGTCACAATGAAGATTTCCATTCCTGTCTATTACATGAGCTAAAAATGGTTGTAAATAATTTCATTGGCAAATGTATTATTATTATTTTTGAGATGGGGTCTCACTATGTTGCCTGGACTGGTCTTGAACTTCTGGGCTTAAGCAATCCTCCTGCTTTAGTCCCTCAAGTAGCTGCAGCCATGCCTGCCTTAATTGTGGTAAAATATACTCAATATGAAATGTATCATTCTAACAATTTTTAAGTATACAGTTAAGTGGCATTAAGTACATTCATATTGTTGTGCAAACATCCCCACCTCCAGAACTCTTTTTATCTTGCCAAACTGGAGTTCTGTACCTGTTAAACTCTATTCTCTTCTTCCCCTAACCCCTGGTTACCAGTGAATTGATGACTCTAGGAACTTCATGTAAGTGGAATCACACAATGTTTGTCTTTTTGTGATCAGTTTATTTCACTTAGCCTGATATTTAAAGTCATTTTTAGATGGTAAATGGCTATAAAATTATGCAACCTCCCCCCAAAAAAACCAGAATCAAAGTAAAAGAAGCTACTATAACTAAAAGAAGTAAGTCATAAAAGATCACGTATCCTATGATTCCATTTCTATAAAATATCCAGATAGGCAAATCTATATAGAGAAAAGTAGCTTAGTGGCTTCTTTTTTTTTTTTGAGTTGGAGTCTCACTCTGTCGCCCAGACTGGAGTGCAGTGGCCGCTCCCGGCCACCGCAGCCTTGACCTGCTGGGTTCCGGTGAGCCTTCCGCCTCAGCCTGCCAAGTAGCCAAAACTACAGGCGCGCGCTACCACGCCCGGCTGATTTTTTGATTTATTGTAGAGATGAGGTCTCGCTGCCCAGGCGGGTCTTGAACCCGCAGGCTCAGGCAATCCACTCACCTCTGCCTCCCAAAGGTGCGGGATTGCAGGCTGAGCCACCGAGCCTGGCTTAGTGGCTTCTTAAGCTAGAGATTTTGGAAGGAATTGAGAAGTGACTATAAAAAGGTTTGTTTTTTGGAGGGGGAGAGTGACGGAAATATTCTAAAATTGATTGTGATGATGGTTGGGACAACTCTGTGAGTATACCACGGACTGTTAACTTGTACATTTCAGAGGGGCAAATTGTACGGCCTGTGACTTATACAAGTATCTTAATAGAGCTGTTAAGGAAATTCATGGGAAGAGTGTTTCAAGGAAGAAAAAAAGGAGTGAGAGAATAATGGTGTCAAATACTACTGATAAGTCAAATCACATAGGATAATTAGGAAAATTGACAATGATTGACCATTGGATTTGCCAAAGTGAAGGTTACTGGCGACTTTGATAAGCAGGATTGAAAACCTGACCATAGGAGGATTAAGAGCGAATGTGAGAGGAATCGAAATGTCTAGCACAGACATCTATTTGAAGAGTTTTACCCAATGAGGAGAAAAGAAATAGGTAGAGTAAGAATCGTTGAAAAGTCAGGTAATGAGAAAATTTGTTTGTTTATAATGGGAGAGACAGCAACATGCTTGTGTGCAGATGATAATATGAACTGGAGGAAGAAGACTGTTGCTGTTATTACTTGAGTTTATCAGGTGCTGTCAGTACTAAAACTAAAACTAACACCAGTGTTAATGTTTGTATTATTGTTTCTGTTGGCCACAGTTGTGCATACAGTACAATCCATATAAGAAATATTACTTGAAAGAAATTTTAAAAAGGAAACACATTCACATTCTGGAAATGAACTGAGACTGAGATTTCTTAGAATAGATGTGTATTTTCATTTTTATTGGGCAAAGTTTTGGGATAGAAGTCTCTCAGCTGCCTTAGCTCTTATATTGTGCTAAATTAGACCTCTTCTAGGAAGATTTTCACCATCAATTTGCTTCTGATGAAATTCACAGAGATCCTTCATGGTTCAAAGACTCTGGAACTTCCATTTCAACTATGAATTGGTCTTATCCCTCTGATAGCCAATCGCTAGCATTAATTCAGTATTTTTGCCTAAATGACCAGGATTTATCTTTTATATCACCGATTTAACTGAGGAGTTTTGTAGTTAAGGGAATTTTAACCCATCAAAATGATCCACACTGAAAATACCCACGCCTTTTGGACTTGTTTTTTTTCTTTCTTAGAACTATTTTTTTTGAGGATCTACTTTAAAAGTTCCCTTTTGATGTACTGAAAACCCCTAATTAAGACAGTTAAATTAAGAAAACATCACCATGGGAACAATTTAGTAATTTGCTGGTTGCTGAAAAACATTAGTCACACAAACATATTTATGAAGCCTCTGTGTCCCCCACACCTGCTCTGTGAGGCAGTTGAGAGGGTAGGTTCTGGAAACAACTTGTCTCAGTGTGTGTCTGACTATACTGCTAACTTGCTGTGTGGCCTTAAGCAAAAGACTTAACTGTTCTCTGCCTCAATTTCTTTATTTATAAAATGAGATAATTGTGCAAATCTCATAGGATTGTTGAGAGGTTTAAATGAGTTATCTGCTTCATTTTAAACTTCTTTAGGGCAGTAGTAGAAATTTTTATTTAATCAAATAAGGTGAAATTCAATAAGCACTCATTAAGAAGAAGAGACTAATAATCTTTGTGCCTCTGAAAATATTATATACAATACTATAGAAAATATCGAAAAAAAAGCGTAGGACCAGGAAGGCCAGTATAACTTATGTCAAACTGAAGACATTTCTTTCCTCCGTTGTATTGGAGCAATATGCATTTTAACAAGCATGTTTTGTTTTGTAAGATTCATATTTTGTGCCCCATTGGTAAGATCTATGTTTTCTTCCTTTTGCTAGAATTAACCATGAGAATGTCACTGAGAGGTTAGATTTCAAAATTTAATAACAACATTAAGATCTTAAAGGTAGAAGTGTGAATTTTGATTTGTGGTTGGGAGATAAAACCACAGATTATAAACTTGTTATTACCAAATCACTTTTTCCCCCAATATTGAGAACTGAAATTTGATTTTGATATGCTGTAGTCAGTTTGACAGCTTATATTGGTTTGAGGGGGGTTGTTTTGTCTCTTTTTGGACTAGTCAGTATTTTTATTGTTATTTTTCTTGGCCAAGGTGGGAGGACTGCTTGAGCCCAGGAGTTTGAGACCACCCTGGGCAACATAGCGAGACCTCGTCTCTACAAAAAATTAAAAAAAAAAATTAGCTGGGTGTAGCAGCACATGTCTGTAGTCTCAGCTACTCAGGAGGCTGAGGCAGAAGGATCGCCCAATCCCAAGAGGCTAAGACTCTGGTGAGCCATGATTGTGCCACTGCCCTCCAATCTGAGTGACAGAGGGAGACCCTGCCTCAAAAAAACAAAAACAGCAACAAAAAAATGAAACAAAAAAATTACCTTCAGGACCTGATTTTGAAAGACAGTTTCCCCCTCACGAGGAGGCAGATGAAGGACAGCGCTGTGATTCATTAGAGGCATTCATTGTATTTTCCAAGTTTGTTCAAGTTCATTTGATTATACATTATGCATCAGTTTCAGGCGACAGAATAAGAACACATTGTCTTATAAGAATCCTTCATAGCGTCTGGCCAACTACAATGAGTTTATTTTAATATTTTTTAAAATGTGGCTGCTTAGTTTTTAAAAGGAGACTCTTTGGAATATGGAGACCTTTGTTCTTCCTGGTCTCCTGGTGGGGTGTGACCTCCAGAGATCTCCCCCTGTGAGACAGGAAGGTGTTGCAACTGACAGACATATCCTGGTCTTCCTTCAGAAGCCAAACTGTAGGGTCTTACTCTATGAACTCCTTCTATTTGCTTTCCTGCTCCTGCCCCCGTAAAGGACTGGCTCTCAGGTGGGAATGAAGAGGGGAACCAGCACAGGGTTGGGTGAGGCGGAAGTCATGGCAGAGCAAGCCTGACTCCTTGTATTCCTGGGAACAACAGGAAAATCATCTTGTGAAGAAGTTTAAGGCTTTTGTGTAATGCTCGCAAGAGTATTATTTTATTATTTTTAACCTGTTGGAAGTAAAAATAAACAAAGACAAACCCCTCCCCCAAGAGCAAAACCTCAGAAGGATGGAGTGTTTACTTCTGAGGTTGGAGAGGTGAAGAGAGAAGGTGAGAGTGGGTGGGCAACAGGCACAGAGCCGCTGAGATGGTCCTTCTGGCCTTGTAGAGACAAAGGCTGTGATGCCCCCATCTCCCTGGTCCTGCTCTGAGTGGCAGAACAGTTCCTGTGCCTGTTCCCTTGCCCTATCTTGAGGGCTTGCATTTGGCTCTGCTTCCTGCTGGAAGGCTCTTTCTGGGGCCACAAGAGCTTTTCAATGCTGTTTCTAGAGCAGCCTGATAGTCTAACATTTAATGCCCCAAGAGGGATGGGAATTGGTGGAAAAATACCTCATCTCCCTGCCTCTCAGTAGGCAGTTCTGAAGCACATTCTGCATAATTCTTCCAAGTGTGTCCTTGGTGAGTATTAATTTGCTCATGAATACATTGGCGTTGGCTTTTCTCCCTCCCCTATGTTCCTCTTTTCCCCCCAGTTTGTGCTTCTTGAGGTCAACTCCTGAAAAAACGACTTTCATCTCATGGCTGTAGAGAGGACCTAAAGTAAGACAGAAGAAGGCCAGATGTGGGAGCTTGCACCTGTAATCCCAGCACTTTGGGAAGCTGAGGTGAGAGAGTTGCTTGAGTCCAGGAGTTCAAGACCAGTCTGGGCAACATAGCAAGACCTCGTCTCTACAAAAAAATAAGAAAATTAGCCGGGCATGGTGGTGCATGCCTGTAGTCCCAGCTACACAGGAGGCTGATGTAGAAGAATCGCCTGAGCCCAGGAGGTCAAGGCTGCAGCAAGCCTTGATCGTGCCACTGCACTCCAG